GGTAGCCCCTATTATTTTCCCCTTTCTCTGCCATTGCCCTCCCAGCTCATTTCTCGATTCCTCAGGGTTCCCCTCCAAGCTTTTCATCTCAGATATGTTTCCACACAAGGCCCCCAGGACAGGTCTATTTCAGTGAGTCTCTCAGATCCCACAGCATCTTGGGATAGGACAGTCCTCCAGAGAGACCTTTACTATGCCTGTGAGTTGTCGGTGAAATGGAGTTTAATTAACTTTGGACCTAAACAACTCCATCTTACTTTAAAGAGGATTGTAGTCGCTTCCTGAGAAAGTAAAATAAGTAACAATGATATTTCCCTATACTCTATATCATACTCTGGATCAGAGCAGGAGGGAAGGGGAAGGCAGATCTGCCTGCCAAGCCTGCCCCACCACCTCTACCTCCCACTTCAGCCAATGTCACCCTGTTCAAAATTGTCTTTTTCTCACATATCTAATCTGCTGCCTGGTGTTGTCAATTTGAGTAGATACTTCTTTCTATAGGCATCTAGGCGCAACGGATAGAGGGCTGGGCCTTGAGTCAGGAAGACCTAAGTTAAAATATGGCCTCAGGTACTTACCAGCTGGGTGACCCTGAGCAAGTCACTTAACCCTGTTTGCCTCAGTTTCCTCATCTGTAAAATGGCGATAATAATAGTACCTACCTCCTAGACTTGTTGTGAGGGTCAAATGAGATAAAATATTGCAAAGCACTTAACACAGTGCTTGGTACATACAAATGCTAGTTGTTATTACTGTTTTGGCAAGAACGAAAATCTCCCTTGGAGAAGTGTGAAGGGAGAGGAGGCTATTCTACCTCCCTTTGAGCCATACACAAGGACAGGCCCTTGCCGTGTGTGGGCCCCTCTCTAAACATGGGATTCCATAGTGCTACATTATTATTAATTATCACTAGCTATGTGATCCTGGACAAGTCACTTAAATGCTCTCTGCCTTAGTTTCCCCAACTGTAAAATGGGTATAATAGCACCTCTTAGTTTTAAGGACCAAATGAGATAATATAAAGTATAATGTATACTGTAAAGATAAATGTAAAACGCTTAGCACAGTGCCTGGCACATTTACTATTGAGTCACTTCAATTGTGTCCAACTCTGTGTGACAGCTTTTCTTGGCAAAGATACTGGAGTGGTTTGCCATTTCTTCCTCCAGCTCATTTTACAGATGAGGAAACCAAGGCAAACTGGGTTAAGTGATTTGCCCAGGGTCATACAACTAGTAAATGTCTGATGTCAGATTTTAACTCAGGTTCTCCTGACTCTAGGCCCAGCATTCTATCCACTTTGCTACCTAGTATATTTTAGGTATTTAGTAAATGTTTACTTCTTTCCTTTAGCTGTACCATGTATCACTTATATCTTGTACCATATATCACCTATATTTTTTAAAGGAGACATTTGTTAACTGTGAGTTTTTTTGTCCACGCTCCCATATATTCCTGTACCATATTAGTATATATCAGTATATACATGTATCAGGTATATATATCATAATAGAGTAAGCATTTCCTTTTTTTTCTGTATAAAAGAAGACCCAGAGGAAAATCAAGTAAAGTTTGTACTCAAATATATTACGGTTACCCTTCCACATTGTTACTTTCTCATCTTGGTTTCAATATATCACAGGTCAGCATAAGAAATTAAATGGGAATTTTTGGGGAGTTTTGTGGAAGCTGCAGACAATATGATGGCCAGCAGATGACACTGAAAAGGTTTAGAAACTCAGAGATGCATAAAGTACATGTATGGTATTGTATAACATCAACACATTTTCTTTTCTCTTTTAATACCATAATAATTCAGACTTCTCTGGTATGAAGGGAGGACCAAAAAATTTTACATGGATTTTCCAGATTGCAGGGGTACCACATGTCTAACTCTCCGAGATGTGGAAGGGATAACTGTTATCTGTCTGTGTTCATCTCCCTTGCATCACACACTAAAAATCTATTGTCTAGCAACTGTCTTAGAATTTTTCTTTCAGGTATCAGAATATTAGAATTATTATTTTCATGGAAGCCTCCTGGAGACAGTGTGCTAAGTCAAAGGAGTAGCTTAAATGGAAGAATTTTAGATCCTGGGTCTATGGAATCGGGGGACAGGTATACCTTCCATCTCACTGGGTAGACAGCCCTGATCATCAGTCTTGAACCCTGAACATTATGTGTTGATTAGAGAAACAATGAAACTGTCTAGGGAATTCTGGGATGTCTCTTAATTCCCAGGCCGAAGTGAGTTGCAAAGGATATGGAGATGAAAACAGGGAGCAGGAGATAAAGAAACAGGGAAACTTCCCTCTACCTCGCAGTGTCCAGAGACCATCTCCAAACTACTGGGTGAGGGTGGGCCTTAGCCTAGACTGGCACCCCTCACACCAGGCCTTCTCTTAACTATGAGCCCCCAGTCCCTACCAAGATATCACACAAAGACAACCTAGAAGCTATCCATCTATTCAGAGACTATAGACCATCTCACCTGGAAGGAACCTCCAAATATAGAATGTCACTGCCAGAGGCTACTTTAGGATGTAGAACATAGAATAGCAGAGCTAGAAGGGGCCAAAAATATAGAATGTTAGAGCCTGAAGGATTCCAGGGGTAGAACCTGTGGTCTTGAGGTCACATGTGGCCCTCTAGGTCCTCAAGTGCTGCCCTGTGACTGAATCCATGTGAAGTTTGGATTCAAAGGGCCACACTTGAGGACCTGGAGGCCACAAGTTCCCTATCCCTGGATTAAGCCATCAACAAATACATATTAGATGCCTTCTATGTGCCAGGCACTGTGCAGGGATTGAGGGTATAAGTACAAAATATGAAACCATTCTTCCTCACAACGGACTTAACATTCTGACGGGATAGGCAACAAGTTTAGACAATTACATGTGGGATACTACATAAACATAAAGTCAACAATATGAAGCAATTTAGGAGAGAGGGAACTAGTGGAAGGGGGTCAAATTGGGAAAGCTTCATGTAGGAGATGGTGCCTGAGCTGGATCTTAGAGGAAGGAGGGAGTCCGTAAGATAGAGGAAAAGAGGAAGTGCGTTCCAGGCATGGCAGTGGCCCCGTGCATCTTCGAACGTGGGAAGTAGAACATTAGCGCTAACAGCAATATTGTAGGATGAGCAACTGTGAGTGACTTCACTATTCTCAACAACACAATGACCCAAGTCAATCCCACGGGACTAATAATGAAGCACACTATCAACCTCCAGAGAAAGAACTGACATTGTCAGGAGACAGACCGAAGCATGCTTAAAAAAAGGGAAAGGAAATAGAATGTTAGAGTTGGGGGAGACTTTAGAATATAAAGTATCATAGCCATAGATCTTAGAAGGAGGAACACCAAGGCCCCTGAGATTAGAACGTGGTCTATCAGAGCTGGGAAAGACCTTGGAGATCATCTGATTCAACACCTCATTTTCCAGAGGAAGAAACCAGGGCCCAGAGAAGGCAATTAATTCACCTGAGGCACACAGTAAGTGGCAGATCTGGGCCTGAAACCCGGGTCTTCTGAGTCCTAGCCCAGTGTTCTTTTCTCCCCAAGGCTGATGGTTTACTATCCTTGGTTGTGAAGAACCGAAGAAAAGAAGAGACACCCTCGGCCACCTCTGACTACAGAAAACTCTGCTCTGAGCCTCCTAACCTGAGATCTGGATCCTCGTCCCAATTCTGCCATTAACGGGCTGTGGGATTTGGAGCCACCCACTTGTCCTCCCTATGCTTTTCTTTCTTCCTTTCTTCCTTCCTTCCTTCCTTCCTTCCTTCCTTCCTTCCTTCCTTCCTTCCTTCCTTCCTTCCTTCCTTCCTTTCTTTCTTTCTTTCTCTCTCTCTCTTTCTTTCTGGGGGGGGGGCTAGGCAATAGGGTTAAGTGACTTGCCCAAGGTCATGCAGCCAATAAGTGTTATGTGTCTGAGACCAGATTTGAACTCAGGTCCTCCTGACTCCAGGGCTGGTGCTCTATCCACTGTGCCACCTAGCTGCCCCGCTATGCTTTTCTCTTCAACAAGATGGAGCAGTCATATTAGATGACCTCCAGCATTGTTTCAAACTATTCTGTTCTCTGAAACTATATGGTTGTCTGGGGACAGGAGGCAGGATCACATAATGGGATGGACTCAGGAAATGGGGTCAGGAGCGACCTGGGTTCAAATTTCAGCTCAGGTATTTGCTAGCTGTGGGACCCTGAGCAATGTCACCCCAATGCTACCATGGCAGATCAAAGGAGGCTGTCAGTGGGGCAATTCTTGTACATAGTAATAATAACAGCCAATGGGCTGCTATATGACCTTGGGCAAGTCACTTAACCCCAATTGCCTAGCCAAAAAAATACTACTAATAATAATAGCGAAAAAATAAAAATAAAAGCAATGATTTCAGTTAAATTATCTGCCCTATTATTGTGGTTTAAGTAGCTAGCTCTTATATAGTGCTTTAAGGTCTGCAAAGCACTTTACAAATATTATCTCATTTGAGCCTAACAACAACCTTGGGGGATCAGAAAGAAGGAAAGGAATTAAGCTTTTATTAAGTGCCTACTATGTGTCAGGCACTATGCTAAGTACTTTACTAGCAGCAGCTCCTTTGATCCTTATACCAGCCTTGGGAGATAGGTACTATTATGATACCCATTTAACACTTGAGGAAACTAAGGCAGACAGGAGTTAAGTGACTTGCCCAGGGTGACACAGCTCCTAAGTGTCTGAGGCTGGATTTGAACTCAGGTCTTCCTGACACCAGTCCTAGTGCACTATGTGCTGCACCACCTGGCTAGTGATAAAAAGAAATCTTGTTAGGCATTGTGTGCCACATGACATATCTGAGCCTCAGCCTGTCTATAAAATGGGCACAATAATAGTTTCATTATCTACCTCACCGTAATTGCTGAGCCCCACACATGGACACAGCCTCACCTACATATAGGCGAGCTATTACTTTATTATCACTGTCATTATTATTATTGGGCCCTTTCCAGGGACTGCCCACCAATTCACTGAGGACTTGCTTGGGAGACACTGAAAGCCTGGCTGCTGATTTGGTTTTCTCTCCCTGGCACCAACTCCAGAGTGCTGGAGAGAATTCGCCCCAGTTCTGGTAAGTACTTGGAGGCTTCCCCGCCAGGGGGTGGTTCCCAGCAGTGGGCAGTAGGATCGATGAGTGGCCAGCTGTTCCCGAACAGGGGCTGAAAAACCTGCAGCAGAGGGAAAGAGGAAGGAGAGGCATCTCTTCTAAGCCCAGTGTAAAAGCTTAGAAGTTCAGTGCTCTCGGTGAGATTCAGCTGAAGGTTTATTCTCGCCAGCCTGCCTTGAACTGAATAAATACCTATTTAATGGAGGCAGGACAGTGGTGGAGGGGGAGAAGCAATGGGCTGGGAGTTAGGGGGCTTGGGTTGCTGTCTTGGCACTTCCATTTACTGGCCAGAGGACCCCAGGCAAATCATTTTCCCTTTCTCATCACTCTTTCCTTATTTGTCAATAAGGAGATTGGACCAGATGATTTTGAAAGCGCTAGCATTTCATGTTCTATGTTGTAAAGGCCCTCCTAGAGCTGATATTCTATGTTCTAGGCTCTATTCCAGACTACACATTCTATGTTCTAAATGTCCCTCCTGACTCTGACATTCTTCATTTCTTCTATTTCTGTAAGGTCCTTTTTTTAGCTCAGATATTCTGTGTCCTGAGGGCCCTCCCTAAGTCAGACACTGTGTTTTGTCATGAAATACCCTCTCTAGGTTACTCCCTCGATTTAGCAATTGAACTCAGTAGGTAGACAGTGACTACTCTAGCTAGGGGGTAATCCTATAAGTGGCAGCTCCTACCGCTCTAACGCCTAAGCTCCAACAAGGGTGTTTCCCGTTAACAATCAGTCACTAGAAGCGAAGCAGAGCCAAGATGGTGGAGTAGAAAGAAGAAGTATAATGAGTTCCCCTCCCCATCACCCTCTCATCCCCACCCCTGCCTCCAAACAGATTTAGAAAAAGCACCAGACTGAATCCTAATTGGGAAATTTAAGGAAAAAAAAATCACAGTGAGTCATTTTTTTCCCAGTCCAGATCAGCATAGGAAGACATATAAAAGAGGTCTGTGGACACTGGAGATTAGGTCTGGCCAGGAGCGAGAATCAGCAGTGCGCTCAGAGCACTCCTGTGTAGGGAGAGACGGGGCAGCAGGGCAAGAAGAGATCTCAGATGTGGCCCATAGCGAAGCGTGGTGAGCTTTCAGCACCATCAGCACCACCATGGCTCCCAGATCCACAGGGAAGCACTGAGTCAGGGTGTGGGAACACGTGCCACCCCGCAGCTTTGTCACTGTCCAGTTCCAGGTCACAGGTCTAAGGTGGCCTGCAGAAGGCACCTGCGCCAGAGGTAGCATTCTGGGATAAAGAGTGATCTCAGACCCTAAGCTGTGTGCCCAGGAAGGAGAAAGCTCAGAAGCAAGCAGCCGTGGCCTAGACCTCACCAAGAGCAAAGCAGGGGCTCGGTTTCAACGTCTAGCCCAGCCAGCAGAGGAATAACCAGGGCAGGAATCTCAGACCAAAGTGGAGCCTCCAGTTTTGTTTTTTTTTTGCTCTTAATTAGCAGAACTTCCCAGTTGACTGACAGTAGCTGAGACCAGCAGATTTTACTGTTGCTCAGACCCAAGCCCAGGTCAGGAACTTGCAAAGCTTAGACCTGGATTAGACTGCTTGGAGAGTCCTGAAAACCCTGAGCTTGAGTTGTTTTTGAGATCCTGGAACAACAAAATATTCAATACCCCAAGAAAGTAGCCTCAGGAGAAGCCCAGAACTTTCCTCCGGAAGTGCTGTAGTGCTCAGCCCTAACATCAAATTTGGAGTCATTTTACAGATGAGAAAACTGAGGCAAATAGGGTTGTGACTCACCCACCATTACACAGCTAGTAAGTGTCTGAGGTTGGATCTGAACTCAGGAAGATGAGTCTTCCTCATTCAAGGCCCTAACAACAGGTAACAACCTGTCCTGCCTGGCACATGGTAGGTGCTTACTAAGTGTTCTCTCTAAAATGCTGCTAACTGATGAATGCTCGTATTTTTCTACTGCTTTTAAACTGACCTAGAATCCTTGCCTGACTGGGAGATCCTTAAGGACTGCTTAGAAACCCTGAATAATCAACCCCAAGTACTTAATCTCTTTTCTTGGGAGCCTTATACTTGTCTAGGGCTTAACTGATTCTGTCTCTTTAATCTCTAACCCAGCCTCCTTGGCCTATTACTGGGTGAGGTTGGGATTTCACTTGGATTGTCCAGGCAGTGGCAAGGTTCCATGGAAAAAACTGGTTGACATATGTTGTTGCAGGGACCCAGAGAAATTTTAGCATGACCCATGTGGAAAGACACCCTTGGAGATTTTGTCCAGATCTCCAGTTGCATTCTCCACGTGTTTCAAGAATCGGGGGGAAAAACTGTGGATGCTTTCTGTTGTTGCAGGGACCTAGAGGAATTTGATCCCATTAAACCTGCTCTGTGAGTGGGAGTCTACAGTAGGGAGTGGGGTGGGAGAAGAGCCTTAGTGGAAGAAGAAAAGGGTGAAGTGTCCCTCCCTTCCACCTCAGCCAATGATAGTGACCTGAGGGGGTGTATGTGGGAAGGATTCCCTCTTGTTGACCCCAGGTTCTAATTCCTTCTGGGAGAGTTCCCCACGGCCTGGGAAGCTCTATAGGGATCATTTCCTTATGAGATAGGAAGATGGATTTCTTAAAAAAAAAAATCTTTGTTGCCTTTTTGGCATCCAGATTGTTGCAGTTTCATGGTGTGTTATGGGGGTCTTCTCAAAGAATTCAGAGTCAGACTACCTCTAAACCAAGCAAGCATAGGCATTTATTGAGGATTGACCGCCCTCAGAAGTGGGAGGAAGCTGTGACTTCAGTGAAAGCAAGATGAAGTTTTACAAGGTAAAGATGCAGTTACATAACAGAAATTATGAATATTAAAAAAGCAGGAGGGATTTGTTAAGAGATGAGGTAATGGGGAGGGGTCCCTTCTATGCTCCAGTGGTCAAACATCCTGTTCATGCTGCTTTCTAATTGGCTAGCTACTATGGTCCTGTCTGGTCAAGATGGATACTTAGGTATTGTGGTCCTGTCTTGGGCTAAAATGGATGATGTGATTGTGGCTGAGCACAAGGACACACCTGTTCAAATATGTCAATTGGATCTGGGGGCAGTGACTAGTGAGGGGCAGTGGCTATATTGAGTCTGGGGACCTGAGGTGTGGTTAAAGCCAGATTGTGTACTTAAATCAGGACATGTCTGCTGTCCAGTGGGGCCCATAAGGAAGCTGGAACGTTGGCACTGGGGGTAGCTTTATTAGGATTCCATCAAGGTCAGGGACTTAGCGAGTTCTAGGCAAGTCTTTGATAAACTTTATAAGATGTTCTCTGCTGATTCAGCATGGCAGGTTTCACTGTTTGCGTGGGGTTGATTGCTATCTGTGCCATGTGGACTATCTTGAGATTCTTTCCTGTGTGATATTGGAGAAACAGATTAAAGGATGAGCTTATGCCTTTCTGGAACCCCTGGGGACTGTTTCGGATAGGGGATACGGACAATATGTTCAAATTGCACTCCACTTGATTTGCTGGAGAAGGCAAGGTTTTGAACAGTGTGGGGATTGTAATGGGTCACTAGCCAATGAGCATTTCATCCCATCCTTTGAACATCTGAAGTCTCCTGGTGGCTAGCCAGGTCCGATGGATAGAGTACTGGACCTGGAGTCAGGAAGACCAGATTTCAAATCCAGTCTCAGACTCTTCCTAACTATGTAAACATGGGCAACCTCAGGGATTCTTGTGAGGATCAAGTGAGACAATATTTGTGAGGCACCTTGCAAATCTTAATGCGCCATATAAATGCTAGCTATTCATTATTAATTCTGCCTGGGGCATCCCCATGTGGAAGCTGGATAATTCTGCTTCTGGGCATGGGTTAATAGAATGGTCCTACTCCCCAACTTGGGAGCCGTGCTGAGGTACTGTGTGCCTTTTGAATTGACCACTGAGTCAGAACCAGGAGTACATATAAAAAATGCCCACATGGGCAACTCACTTCTTCCTAAATTAGCTGCATTCCCCCAGGAGGTGAGGATTGCTATGAGCCTGGGATAGGAAGAGAAAACTGGTGCTAGTGGCCTTCCCTCCCCTATGATATTGGCATGAAACCATGAGTATATGTTTCTCTCTCTCTCTCTTGTGTCCATTCTTTCTTGACTTAGGTGAAGGAACATTGTAGATATCATGGACCAGGCTTCAACCTCACGAGCTTCTGAAGGTTGGGAGAGCTCCAGAAGCTAGAGTCCATGCTAGAATTTGCAGATAGCCAAGGCTACTCCACCAGCACAGCCTTGAGGACCAATTGGGACCAGCCCAGCAATGGGTTGACCCCATAGCCAAGATGCTGGGTCCTATGTTCGAGGGTGTGACACTGCCCATTGGCTGTGCTCAACCCAGAAGTGAATTTGGTGGGGTGAATGCTTTCTAGCAACTACTTTAAGGTTGAGCCTATTCTCCCCAGGGACTGACCTGGTATAAAGAAGCATATGCTCCTGGGTGTTGGGGAGAAGTGTTTATACTTCTGTTCTTGCTATATCTTCTCAGTAAGTAATGTTAATTGGTTAAATGATATGAGTGCTCTAATTACAGGTGATTGATTTTGGAGAAAACACAGAAATGGGGGCTCAGGCTGATAACATCACAGAAGAACTCCATAACCTTTCAGAGGTACCTGTAGGACCCTGAGGGGGTAATGTAGAACCAACTCAGCAATATAAGTGGGGTTTGAGATAAGGACCCCTCAGAGCTTCTAAAGGTTATACCGATGAGGTGAACCAGAGAATGGCTTGCCCAGAGTCACACAGCTAATAAAATAATAAGACCTTGAACCCTGGTCATAGGGTCATACATCTAGAGACTGAAGAGACAGAAGAGACCATCTGGGCCAACCCCTTCATTTTACAGATGAGGAAACTGAGGTTCAGGATGGCTAAATAATGACTCTGAATGCAGTGATCTTTCCTATGTAATCTTCTATCTACATAGACATCTATTCTCTGCCTTATCCCCAATTTTTGGGAATCTATCTCTCTACAACTCTTTTATTCTGTTAGGTGATGAGGCCCTCAAGGGCAGGGACTGTCTTTTGCCTTTCTTTGCATCCCTAGAGCTTAGTACAGCGCCTGGCACATAGTACGCGTACTGACCGTCCCCTAGCAGTGTGCCCCAACCCACCAACACGCCTAACTTGGAAGCTGCGTGCCTAGCCTGCCACCTTGTGGGTTCTGGAGTCAATAGCAGCTCAGGTCTGGGAGAATGCTAACTCTGACCTTATTCTTGGCAGAGCCTGGGACTGGCTTGGTGGATTGCTCCAACGAGGCTGTAACTGGTCCCTCCTCTGAGCTCCGGCCCCTCTCCCCTGACCCAGGAGGCCTGAAGTAAAAATGGGGAGTGAGAAAAGGGAATCCCTCCACGGTGTCCGTCCACAGTACAACAGGGTCATCTTGGTATGTGTTCCCTTCCGTCTGCTCCCTTCTGATCTCAGCTCCTTCTCTGGGATCTCAGTTCTTTTATTATCTGTGCCTTTGTCTCTTAGCTTTTTATACGTTGGCAGGGGCCTTGATTGTGGCCTTCACCCCCACCCCCAGCTTCTTGAGAGGATTTGTGTCTCTGTTTCTTTCCCTATAACTTGGGCCTCTCTCTCCCTCCTTCACTTCTTCCCTTTTGCTTTCATGCACTCTCTTCTTTCTCTTTTTACTCTCTCTCTCTCTGTCTCAGCTCTCTATTTCTCTTCTCTGTCTCTCTGCCTCTATCTCTGTCCTCTCTCTGCTCTATCTCTCCTTTGTCTCTGTCTCTCTCCATTCTCTGTCTCTGTGTGTGTCTCTCTCTCTCCTTTTTCTGTTTCTCTCTATGTGTCTCTCTCCTTCTTTGTCTCTCTTTCATCTTGATTTTAGTCCTCCCTCTGTCTCTGTCTTTATCTCTGACTCCCCTTTCTCTCTGTCTCCTTTTTCTGTCTTGGTGTTTCTCTGTCTGTCTCTATTCTGTCTCCTTTTTCTCTGTGTCTCTGTCTGCCTGTCTCTGTCTCTTTCTCTGTCTGTCTGTTACTCTCTCTCTCTTTCTCTTCTATCTGTCTCTGTCTCTGTTTCTGTCTCTCTCTCCCCCCTGCCCCTGACTTCAGACAAGGGAAAAACCATGACAGAGAAGCAGAAGCCTTCAGAAGGCTGGCATCTGAAACCTGACAATGTCCCTGGTCTCCCAGTGGCCTCATACTTGTTAAATTTAGTGTCAAAGGCAGACCAGGTTCCGGGAAGCAGCAGCAATCTGCCTCTGAGGCGCTGGCATCACACACAGAACAGATGGCACCACCCATGGACGATCCCTTCAAGTGGGCCCTGGGGCTAGGCAAGGCTGGGGATGGCTCAATTCTGCCCTTCGGGGACAACAGTGGCAATCATCGATCACTCGACAAAGCTCATTAAGCGCCTGCCCTGTGCCAGGTACTACACAAAGAAACGAGACAATCCCTGCTCTCCAGCTGACGTGACATCCCCCGGCCAGCTCCACAGCATAGGCCGCTTCATTACCAGCTGCCTGGACTAGAGCCGTAGCCTCCTGAAACATTTCGCCTCGACTTTCTCCATCTCCAACCACCCTGTCTGCGCTGAGACACCAATCATCTTTAGCATAGAGCTGGCCGTGTTACTCCCACTCTGACGTCTTTGAAGTCTCCCTAGTCCGTACTGATTAAAGTCCAAACACCTTTGCCTGGCATTCGAGGCCCTCTGCCATCTGGCATCAATCTACTTTTCCCACTTTATGTCTCTCCTACACTACATTACAGTCAGACTGGACCACTTGTGCCTCCCCTGCCCTTCCCACCCCAGGGCTCTTGTGCAGACTGTTCTCTATGATAAGAAGCTCCTCTTTCCTCCCCATTTTTGTATTTTGAAATCCTGTTGCTGCCTTAAGGACATCAATACTTCAATAACTACATGACTTCATTGAGATGGGCATTACCTCCAACCACACAGACCACAATGCATCCACGCCTGCCCATCCTGTGCAACTCTTATCCAGCTCTTCCCATAAGTTCACCACAGGGGGCTTGACCCAATGTGCCTGGGGCCTTACACTCTCTTGATATTACATAAATATCAATGAATGTCAATAGCCAGGTGGTGCAATAGATCTGGAGTGCTGGACCTGAAGTTCAGAAAACTTGAGTTCAAATCTAGCCCTGCACACTTGCTAGCTGTATGACACTGGGTAAGTCAATTAACCTCTGCCTGCCTCAGTTTCCTCAACTATAAAATGGGGATAATAACAGCACCTACCTCCCAGGTTTTTATAAGGATCAAATGAGATACTATTTGTAAAGTGCTTTGCACAGTACACTAGTTGGCACTAAATAAACGTTCGTTTCCTTCCTTCCCTTCTCTTTTCCTTTCCTTTCCTTCCCTTCCATTTCTTTTTCTTTTTCTTCCTTCTTCCCTCCCTCCTTCTTTTCCTTCCTCTCTTACCTTTCCTTCCTTCCTTCTTTCCTTTCCCTCCTCCCTTCTTTCCTTTCTTTCCTTCCTTCCTTGCTCTCCCTACATGACTGGCCCATCTTTTTTTTTTCTTTTTTTGACAATACATTTCTCTGCTGACATCCTTTATATTGTATCATTTTCTACGTCATTATTTCAGGAATCTCATATAATTTTTTTGTTCAGTTGTTTCACTCATGTCTGACTCTTCATGAGTAGTTTGGAGTAGTTTGCCATTTCTTTCTCCAGTTCATTTTACAGATGGGAAAACTGAGGCAAACAGGGTTAAGTGATTTGCCCAGGGTCACACAGTTAAGTAAGTGTCTGAGGTCAAATTTGAACTCAGGGAGGTGAGTCTTCCTGACTCTAGGCCTGGCACTCTATCTATTGTGCCACCTGGCTGCCCCAATCTTATATAATTTTGATGTATTTATGTATGCAGGAAGGCCCCTTGTTGGGGAGGGGCGTGTAAAACTCTACCCAACCAAGTACTCTACTTATAGTCAATGAATGAAGAGGACAGTCCACATTTTCCAGTTGTTTGTGTATCTATGACACTCACTGCCGTCTGCTGTAACTTGCCCCTTCTCAAATTTTCGTCAAGAAATGCCCTCCACACATTGGTGGAATGTTCTCGTAAAACAATTTTATGAATGAGAAATTAGGCATATGGGCCAGTAGTTTTGACATTTTCTGGTCTCCCATTTTATTGGTAATGGCAGAGTCCAAGATATTTTTTTCTTATCCCTTTGTTATTCTCTCCACTTTCAGACACCTTGAGAGTTAATCTCTCAGTGTCCTTGAAATGGTGTCACCTCCAGCATGGACCTCCCCTAAGTGTACTTGGCCTGGGCCAGCTGCTTTTCATGGTTTTGTTTTCCTTAGTTGACAATGAGACACACACATGGAAACCCGTGTAGGCGAGATGACTCACACAGCTAGTACTGACTGCAAGGCCCTGCAAGCCTTTCTTTCCTAACGGAGCCCTCGGACCACTTCCTCCTGGGAACAATATCCCGGCCAGGCTGGCCACTCAACTGACCTCCCGGGTTCTGTTCCTCTGGGTAGTCAGCTCTCAACTATCAAATCTCCACAGTCGTCTCTCTTTTCTGTTGCTAGAGGTCATGCTCCTTTAAGCTGTTTCCTGTTTCTCATTCTCTGTGTCTGTGTTTGTCTTCCTCCTACTAGACAAAGATCTTTGATGAAAGATACCACAGCCGATGGTGAAGTTGGCAGCGGTTGGGGAGGGAGAAGAAATGAGAGAGAAATCCCCATCCTGTCCTTTGGTATATGTATGAGGATCACAAATGCACAAAGTTGCTCCCTAACTTGAATGTGTCTCAACTGCTAATCAGGACTGGCAAACTTGTCTTTTTTTTTCTTTTACATTTAATTTTAATTTTATTTTTCTTAATTGTTGTTGTTCAGTTGTTTCAGTTATATCCCACTCTTTGTGACCCCATTTGGGGTTTTCTTGGCAAAGATACTGGGATAGTTTGCCATTTCCTCTCTAGCTCATTTTACAGATGAGAAACTGAAGCAAACCAGGTTAAGTGACTTGCACAGGGTCACACAGCTACTAAGTGTATGAGGCTAGATTTGAACTCAGGTCTTCCTGACTCCAGGCTGCTGCTCTATCTGCTGCACCACCTAGTTGTCCTTTTTCTCAATTGCATATAAACAAAAATTTAAAAAAAATTTTTTGTTGGAGGCAATTGGGGGTAAGTGATTTGCCAAGGGTCACACAGCTAGTAAGCTTCTGAGGCTGTATTTGAGCTCAGGTCCTTCTGAAGCCAGGGCCAGCGCTCTATCCACTGCACCACCTGGCTATTCCTTTAACATTAATTTTTTAAAATTTTGAGTTTCAAATTTTCTATCTCCCTTCCTCCCCTCCCCCTTCCTTGAGAAGGCAAGCAATTTGATATAGATTATGCATGTGAAGTCATGCAAAACATTTCAATGTTAGCCGTGTTGCAAAGGAAAACACAGACAAAAAAAAAATAAGAATAACAAAGAAGGTTTAAAAAGTGTGCTTTGATCTACATTCAGACTCTGTCAGTTCTTTCTCTGGAGATGGATAGCATTTTTCATCATGAGTCCTTCAGAATTGCTTAGATCATTGTGTTGTTGAGAATAGCTAAGTTATTCACAGCTGATCATCATCCTATGTTGTTGTTACTGTGTATAATGTTCTCCTGGGTCTGTTTACTTCGCTATGCATCAGTTCATGTAAGTCTTTTTAGGGTTTTTTTTGTTTGTTTTGTTTTTTGGTGAGGCAATTGGAGATAAGTAACTTGCCCAGGGTCACACAGCTAGTAAGTATCCTGTGTCTGAGGCTGGACTTGAACTCAGGTCCTCCTGACTCGAAGGCCAGAGCTCTATCTACTGTGCCACCTAGGTGCCCCTATTATCAGAATTTTTTTAAAAAACATCATGTCATGATTTCTTATGGCACAATAGTATTCCATCACAATCGTATACCACAACTTGTTCAGCCATTCCTCAATGGATGGGCATGGTCTCAATTTCCAATTCTTTGTTACCACAAAAAGAGCTGTTATAAATATTTTTACACATATAGATTCTTTTCCCTTTTCTTTGATCTCTTTGGGATGTAGACCTAGTGGAGATATTGCTAGGTCAAAGCGTATGCACAGTTTTATAGCCCTTTGGCCATAGTTCCAAATTGCTTTCCGGAATGATTAGATCAGTTCACAAATCCACCAACAATGCAGCAGTCCTTGTGAGAGCGACCAGGGACACGGCCAGTCTTTTGGCCAGTCAATGGAAAGCTGCCTTGCTAATTTCATTAGGGAAAACTCTTTCACACTTGGTTTAAGTTCCAACTTACTCCCATCTTTTACTGAAAGCATACCCTACCCTTCTTAATTCTAGTGCCTTCCCTCTGTAAATTTTTTTTTATTTATCCTGTACATAGCTTGCTTTGCATATATTTGTTTACATGTTGTCTCCCTGTTAGATTATAAACTCCTTGAGGACAGTATTCCCAGCACGTTGGTACAGTGCCTAGTACGTAGTAGACCTTTAATAAATTGATGATTGATTAAAACGAGAAGAAGGCATAAACTCATGTTTGTACTTTGTTTTAACACATTAACATTTCATCTCTTTATTTTCTGTGATCTCATCACAGTGATTATACCAACTGATCTGGGGAATAAAATAAACTCCCTGCTTGTACATTTCCCCAAATATAATCCAAGAGGGGCAAGAAACGTTTCAGAATGCACTGCTGAAGCTACAAAAGGAAACAGTTCCAGTGAGGAGTCAAACTATGAGTTATCGGAAAAGGTTGATGTGGGTTCATTGGTAACCCACAAATCCCTCTCAGCCAGGGGTGGGGAACCTGTGGCCTCAGGCCACACATGGCCCTCTAGGTCCTCAAGTGTGGCCCTCTGACTGAATCCAAACTCCACAGAACAAATCCTTTCATTAAAGATTTTATTTATTAAGAATTTCTGGACTTTAAAAAGATGTCTACAGAACTGATGAAAGCCCGGACAGGTCACAGAGAATGAACAGAAGGATTTGGCACAGTCTTATAAAAATGGCAATAATTGACAAAAAAAAAAGAAGGCAAAGCTGCCTGATCTTTATTTTGTTCTTGTTTTCTCAGCCAAGAAAGCTGATCATTGCCTTGGAAATGGCCAAACAAGCCTGGCCATCAGACTCATGAGAAGTAAGAGAGTAAGAAGGCACCTGGCATCCCCATGATAAATTCCTGTGGGGGAAAGGATGAACCTGGGCCATGCAAGGAGCACACCAAGGAGCCGTAAAGAGGCAAATTTGTGCTTGACATCAAGAACTCCTCAACAATTAGAGTTGCTGCTTCCAGAGGCGGTGGGTTTCCCCTGCCCTCAGAGGGCTTCAAGCAGAGGCCGGACAACCACTGGCCCAGTGTGATACAGTGGTGGGGTCCTTCCATGTATGGGCTGGAGTAGATGGCCACTGAGATCTCTTCCAATTCTCATATTTCAAGATAATCAATATCATTGTTGGCAACTTGATGCTTACTGCAAGTAGCTCCTGATTCTTTTTGTCAAAGAAAGTTTTTGTAATTTTGTTGGACAGGATAGGTTGCTTTCAGGATTCTGCATATTTTATAGGCCTTCAATCTCTTGTTTCTCATTCCTAAACCATATTTTCCAACATATTTTTCACCATCCTCCCTTATGCTCACCTTATGATGATTTTATTAGGAGGGCCTAGGGCATCTAGGTGATGCAATGGATAGAGCTCTAGGCCTGGAGTCAGGAAGAATCAATCTTCCTGAGTTCAAATCTGGCCTCAAATGCTTACTAGCTGTGTGACCCTGGGCAAGTCATCTAACCCTCTTTGCCTCAGTCTCCTCATCTATAAAATGAGCTGAAGAAGGAAATGGCAAACCATTCCAGTATCTATGCCAAGAAAACCCCAAATGGGCTCAAGAAGAGTTACTGGACATGACAGAAAAATGACTGAACAGTAATTGCATGCTTCATGGCATTTCTCTACCTCAGTCCCTGAAACAGATGTTGTCATCTAAATTTTAAATATTCTCATCATGGTCTTTTTTCAGATAGTTGAAATGCAATTTGAGGTGACCAAACATTCCATGAAATTATATTTCTGGTTGCCAACCAACTCCTTTATTTTACTTTCCAAGGACAGTCTGTGAGTCTGCCTTTCATTTAGCTATGGGTTTCTTTAGTCTTCTGGTTTCATTTATAGCAAGAATGCCAACCAAGGTTGACATGATTCAGTTCCCCCAGGACTATGTTCACTTGTCAGTCAGTGGAGAAGGAGCTCATATTTAGAATAGCAATAGCTAAATAAATGTTTGTAGATGGGCTAAGAACCATGTACTTAGATCTCTTTGCTTCCCTGTCTATCATTCTGTCCCAATAACCCTAGAAGGAAGCCACACAGGACGGAGGGCCATTCTGAACTTTGCGGTGTTCTGTGGGTCAAAGAGTGCATCATCAAATGGCCAGCCTACTGGCGATAAGCCCCTCTGAAGCTAATGAGGTTGATCCTTGGGGAAATAGAAGTAAATGGTGGTTGGGACCACACTCAAAGTGTTTTCAGAATGGTAAAAGCTGATGAATCTCGCTTTTAATTGGCATAACCGTTGAGAAATCTGGGCCCTACCTTAACACAGTTTAAATGTCACCACCATCTCTTTCAGAAACTCTTCTTTATCTCCTTGGTTCCTAACATCTTTCCCTCATTTAGCATGCACATAGTACTCAGGATAGACTCCTTCTGTATACTTGTTATGCATATGTATTTGTATTTCTTGATAATCCTACAGTCAATATTTCCCAACTGACATGAGAACCAAGAATGATTTCAGGGGTGTCTCTTACAAAATCTCTTGGGCTCAGTTTTAAAATTCTCTGGCTCCTACTTGGGGGGCTTTAATTTCTAACTTTACTTAGAACTTTAGTTTATTGCACATTTTGTTTTTCCAAAAGACCCCTCAGTCCCCCAGCAAGGACTTAGGCTAACAAGACAGTAAATATGTGACAAGTTTGATTTATACAACAAAAAGATAGAAATCATACCTGAACCTATAGTCTACTAGTAAGACTCCCACTTCCACCAGAGGCTGATATAGTCATTCAAAATTATAGCACTACCCTAAATGGCTTCTTAAAAAAAACCAAAAAAACAGGGGGCAGCTAGGTGGTGCAGTGGATAGAGCACTGGTTCTGAAGTCAGAAGGACCTGAGTTCAAATCCGGCCTCAGACCAAACACTTGACACTTACTAGCTGTGTGACCCTGGGCAAGTCACTTAACCCCAATTGCCTTTTAAAAAAAAACAGAAACAAAAAAAGTCTACATTTTTTACTTCTACAGTTATCCCTTCTACATTGCTACTTTGCCATCTCAGCTTTAATATATCACGGTCAGCATAAAAAATTAAATGATAACATTTTGGGAGTTTTGTGGAAACCGTAGACAAAATGCGAAGGACAGCAGACAACACAGAAAAAATTTAGAAACTCAGAAATGCATATGTATACTATTGTATAATATCAACACCCAATAAAAGAAAAATAAAAAATTCCGACTTTTTCTCTGGTACAAAGGGAGGGCAAAGAAATTTTATGCAGATTTTCTAGATCATGAAGGGAGGGTAGAGGTGGGGGATGTGCCACACCGCTAACTGCCCCCCCCCCATGATGTAGAAGGGATAACTGTACTTCCTTTTGTCTCACTTCCTTTTAAATCTTCTGCAAACCTGGCTTCCAACCCCATCACTCAACGGGAATGTCTCTTTCCAAAGATACAGATGCTGTCTTAATTTGCCAATCTCATAATGTTGTAGCAGTCTCTATCCTTCTTGACCATTTTCTGCTTTTGACACTGTTGACTCCCTTCTTTTCTTAGATACTCCCTTCTCTCTGGGTTTCTATGACCGTGATCACTCTTGTCCTCTTCCTACCCGAATGACCTCTTATCAATCTCCTCAGCTCTCATTCTCCCACCCCCCAAATCACTGTCCTGAGCTGTCTTCTAATTTCTCTCTATACTCTCTTACTTGGTGATGCCATTAACTCCCGTGAGTTTAATTGTGATCTCTATGCATATGACTCTCAGATCTCTATATCCAGCTCTATCTTTTCTAACGAGCTCCAGTCATGAATCGCATTTTGAACAGCATGTCCCATAGGCATCTCAAACTCAACACGTCCCAAAAGAGTTCATTCTCCTACCCCTTCCCCAAACCTACCCTTCTGAATTTTTGTAACACTTTGGAGAATGCCTTCCGGCATCCTTCTAGCATCATCATTGATTCCTCATTCTCATTCTCAACCAAATCTTGTTATTTCTCCTCCTAAAACATCGCTCATCCATGTCCCCTTCTCTTCCCTCACATGACCCCACCCGAGGTCAGGCCCTTCTCACCTTTTACCTATTGCAAAGACCTTCTCATTGGTCTCTCAGCCTCAAGTTTCTGTGTTCAAATCTGTTCTCCACATACTGAGGTGATTTTCCTAAGGCTAATTTTTTTTAAAAAACCATATCACTTTCCTACTCAATAAATTCCAGTGACGTTATTCACTATAGGATCATATATAAATTCCTCTGTTTAGCTCTTAAAATGCTGGCTCCTCTGACCTTTCCAGAATGATTACACTGTGGTCCCCTCCATGGATTCTAGGGGGCAGTTAAACTGGTCTGTGTGCTATTCCTTGTAAATATCTTCATGTCCCGTCTCCATCTGTCTTTGCACTGGCAATCCTCCATATCCAGAATTTCCTCTCTGCAGCTGACCTCTCTTCTATGCGTCATCCTCTCACTATAGAACGTGAGCTCCTTGAGATCAGGGACTGATTTCTTTTTTAGTCTGTGTCTCTATCAATCAGCCAGGCAACAGTCAGTTAATAAACGTTTATCAAGTGTCTGCTGTGTGCCAGGCACTGTGTTAAGAGCTGGGGATATTAAAAAAAAAAAAAAGTAAAAAACAGTCCCTGACCTCACAGTATAATGGAGGAGCCAATAAGCAAACAAGTATAAAAACAAGCTATAGACAGGAGAACTAGGAAATAATTAATGGAGGGAAGGCACTAGAATTAGGAAGCATTGGAGAAAAGCTTCCTGGAGAAGAGGAGATTTTAGTTGGGACTCAAAAGAAACCAGGGAAGCCAGGAGGCAGAGATGAGGAGAGAGAGCAGTCCAGGCATGGGGGACAGCTGGAGAAAAGCCCTAGTTTTTAGCACAGTGCTTGGCATACAGTAAGTGCTTAATCAATCCTTTTCAATTTGTTTCCATTCCTCACCTCCACCTCTTGGATTCCTGGCTTCCTTTAAGACATTGCTCACCCACCCCACTTTCTGGAGGAGGCTTTTCTTTGTTCTCTCTGGATCTACTGCTTTGCATATACATAGATATGTGAGGTTAGTTTTCCCTGTTAGTCTGTTTCACTTCTATCAGAATCTGCAGCCCCCATGTTCTGCAGTGTGTGGAACACAGTAGGTGCTGAGTAAATGCTTGTTGATCAAATAAACTGATTGGGTTCCTAGAGAGTCGCCTTTCTCCTTTCCTCAGCAATATCTGGTCCAAGTGCCTCACAGTACCAGTAAAGGGCAAAATCCAGGTATGACCCTCTACGTTGACTCTGTGCCTCCTGGCTTAGATACTCCTTAGAGTATCTAAGAAAAGAAGGGGGTCAACAGTGTCAAAAGCAGAAGGAAGGTTCTGGACCTTCCTATGGTTTTCAATCTCATGGTTCCTTGCTTTTCTCAGATTCTACCACAGCATATTATCATCATCATCATCATTATTAGTAGTAGTAGTATTACATAAATGCTATTAATACACAAATCAATAATTTAACATTTGAGTATTAACACATAAATTAATATACCATAATACATGATTAACACATAAATGCCATTATGATTATATAGGTTTACATATTATTATAAATGCTTTTACTAATACTAAAAATAGCATTTATGTAGCACTTTAAGGTTTGTAAAGTGCTTTATAAGTATTATCTCACTTTATCCTCATAACACCTTTGAAAGTTAGGTACTATTCTTATCCCTATTTTACAAATGAGGAAACTGAGGCGGCGGACAGCGGTTAAGTGACTTGCCTAGGGTCTAAATATCTGAAGCCAGATTCAAAATCAGGTCTTCTTGACTTTTAGGCCAGGACTCTTCCCACGCTTATCTGACGGTACCATATTCTACGATGGAGTGTGGTTAAGTGAATAAGGTGCTGTGAGATCCCATGAGGAAGGGATCAAAGGGATTAGGGCTTTCATGTAATTTTGTTTCAGGGCTGAGAAAGTTAGTCCCAAGTCCTTCAGTACTTACTTCAGAAAGTGTGCATGTGTATGTGTATGCAAATGTATGTATATATGCACACATATTACAAATACGTTATATACTATAGAACAAAATATGCATGCAAGAATACTTTGCAAACCTTAAAGTGTGATAGAAATGTGATTAACAATAACATAATAATATATACATGTTATTAACAATGATAATAATAATAATAAACGTATTGCTTCTCTCTGTGTAAAGTATTCTGGGGGGAAAAAGAACTTATTCCTTGCTGTTCAGCTTTCAGGTGGCGAGTCTCGATAGTTGAGTCTTGAAATTAATTAAGCACCTACTATGTGCTAAATAAAATAAATAGTATATGATATATACTATGTCACTGTGCTAAATGCTTGGGATACAAGGACAGGCCAAAACGATATCTCTTCTCAAGAAGCTCATAACCCAAGCTTGGCTACGCT